TTCCTTTTAGAGTTCACTTGGCTCAGTAAATTTGCATGACCATACAGCTGTTCTCATTCACAAACCATGCAATTAACCTGTGTTAAAGAAAAAGGGGGTCAGCACTCGGTGGGCTGTCAGCACCTTAAACATATGAGACAGCACTCCTGATTTTTAAACTTTAAATAAGATCAGTGAAAATGCTTTTTACATGTCACTAATTCTTTTAATATTCCCCTGACTTTTTATCAATTTTAATAACGGCAATGGGTGTGGCTTAAATGTCCAAACCCCAGCAAGCCACAATTTTACATGTTTTTTTTTAGTTTTTTTTTTTTTTTTTTTTTTTTTTCCTACATTAAATTTATCACATTCCTAAATTGGAAAGTGCAAAACTTCTGCATATTACACTTATAGCTTTACGATTTTAAGTGATTAGTTACCCCAATCATGTCTCAATTTGTTTAAACTTCTAAAAGTCAAAAATCAAAATTTAGTAATTTTAAGGTCAAAATGTGTTTATCTTCTAGATGTTGCCATGACCAACATGGTATTGATCGTTACCTTTACTTGCAACATCACATCACCTTTAAAACATAAGTAACAAACACAAAACAAATCATCATTATGCCACTGATATTGAATCAGTATTGTCAAATATTTTGCTGACAGGGCACTTTAGGCACATTAATACAGTCAACCCAGACAATACAACATACAATCCATGGATCTCACACATCTTATCACAACAACATACTCTCACAATTAGCTTGCTTAAATTCTAGACAAAAATATGAGCACATTTCTCTAATAAGGCTGCATTCTCTCTCTTTATTTTTTTTTTGGACTGTACCTCAAATCTATATATAGATCTCATTATTTCCCTTTTTTTTTTTTTTTTTTTTTTTTTTTTTTTTTTCTGGTGTTCATACTTACAGTAGGCTTTAACCCATGCCTCTAGTTAGGTCATTGTAAGTAGGCAGGGTGGTAGTATAAACCTATCATGTGCTTACAGTTATTTGGCAATATTTTCAGGTTCTTTTCTTATATAGGACTATAAGTCTCTTTTATTTCCTTTTTCAACAATTTTGTTCACATTGTTCACTCACATTTGTTCAATTGTCTTATCTTTGAAAGTATCTGGGTTACTATTTTTTTTTTTTTTTTTTTTTTACATTCTTTCAAGAGTTTAAGGTGAAATTTCCCTTCTAGGGGTACTAAACCCCTGTGTGCCTTGGTTCCATTCCTTGAGGGATTCAGCCACTCCTGTTCCAAAGTTATATATCATGTACTTTGGCAATCCAGGAGGAGCTCCCGTGGGATCACACAGATACCCATTTGGGGTGTACACGGTGGTACAATTCCCCATCTCACACGGTGGTGAGACTTCCTCAAGAATTAATCTATTACTAAGCCCCCACGATCAAATGCAAGATACGATATACCTAGATAATGTCAGAATTCATCTATTACTAGGCCCCCACGATCATATGCAAAGATACGATATACCTAGATAATAGCAGGAACCGTATATCTGGCCCCCAATCCTGGCCAAGGATATATACCAGACTATACTATGCATAAATCAGCCACACAGACTGAACAGGGACACCTCAGTCACATAGGCTGAGGGGATTCAGTTATACAGAGTAAAACAATTCAGGAATGTAAAAAAAAAAAAAAAAAAAAAACTTCTTTCTACAAAAAGAGAGACAGTCCACTTATATGTAAAAACACATGGCAGCGCATAAAGAGATCAATACAGTACAACCAAAGCAACCAAAATTTCAATAGGAAAAGATTATAGAACTTTTTAGAGAAAGTATAGTATCTGACAGCTTTGTTTCCCTAAAAAGTCTTTCACATCAGTTTATAGACACTGCTGTAGAATAGAAAAGACAGTTCAGTTCCTCTACTTATGGTGTGACTTTATGGAGAGCCACGCAGAAGAGAAAAAAAAAAAAAAGCTTCATCAATCAAAACTGGTACTAATGTTTCAAGCAGTGCTGTTTTTTTAAGCAGCCTGTCACCCATGGCAATGGACCACATGGCCCCACCACACTTAGTACCTTAAGTCATACCTCAAGATATTTTGAGTCAGAAGACCCGATCCCTGACCTGCCCAGTCGCCCGGTAACAGGAACTGCAGAGATCCTACCTAACCACACATTGCACCTGAAATAGGGCAAATCATTCAGCAGAACACATTCATGCAAAAGGACAGTAATAAGTAACAGATAGTATAGAAAGTAAAAAAAAAAAAAAAAAAATTCAACAGTCAAGGTTCTTGGAAAGGGTACTTTTCCACAACATCGACTTTACATACAAAGGCACAGCACAAGGGGAAATCATAGTAAGCAGAAAGTTAGCTTACCAATGCCAGCAGAGATGACTTCCCAGGTTGTGCTGTCCTTCTGTGTCTAAACGATGTCTGTAGAGTTTCCCTTTCCGGCTCGAAGGACCAAATTGACGGGGAAACCCAAAACTCATGGGTTTCAGTAACATTTTGACTGCTGAAGCCGGATTGAAAAGTAGATGTTTATTATACAAGCATGTAGCTAGACCTCCATGCAGGGAGAGCAGAACAATACATGGTGTTGGATTCAAAGTAATGCTCTAATCTAACTAGGGCTTTCTAATACAATTTATATGCTCTACAGTGGGTGGTACCTAGCTATCTGATCTTTCTTTGAAGAGTCATCTGTGTCTTTGGTGTAACTCATTGAGATGCGAATAGTTAACACGTTATTGTTACTTCAATTGTCCTTTGGGTTTAACAGGATGTCAAAGAAGTCTGGTCATGGGCATTAAAAAGTTTGAGAGGAGTACATGCATCTATGCATAAAGCCCTAAAACAATCACACAGCTGTATAAAGCTCTATTCATTGTAACTGTGTCATTGTGAAGACCAAGACAAGGATAGAGAGAGATAAAGAACTAAATCAATATTTATATCTAGAAATGGCTGCTCCATTTTCCCTTACAAGGGGGAAAGCTCTAAAACATAAATGGTGCAGTTCAATCTGATATGTATGCAGTTACTTGCATTTGGCCCCTAGTGTCAGAATCTCTTCACTCAGGATGGGGTCATAGCAAGGGATACCAGGAATGTTTCCCCAGGCGGCTGGCTAAATTCCAGGAACAATCTCACAAACCAGAGGCTGGAGCGTGGCTGTAGAAGAAGTACCACTCAACTGGAAATGGGGCTCACAGACAGAGTGACTGGGTCTAAAGTAGAAGCTGCTTGCTCCAGTGTTCTCAGCTGGATGTACACAAGATGAAAACCATGCTGGAGGACCCAGTGACTGGTGACAGCTGAAGTGCCCAGTCATTGTTCCATCAAGCTGTAATACACAGCCCGATGACTAGATCAGGACTAGATCAGGAACTATAGCTGGCTGGTGTTTCTTTTACCTATAGCAGCTGCAGCAAGTTAGGCTACCGGTACTTGGATGCCCCCAGGTCTCAGAGAGTGATGTTACAGTTCCTGGCCAGATGGCATTGGGACTGAGTGACTGGGACAAGAAAGGGTACCTGTAGTCCCGAGGCTGGTCAGGCAGTAGACTGCAGCTGGTAGTGAAATTCAGCTTACCTGCTGTGTGTAGTGGTTTTTGCAGCAGCCTGGATCCTCCTCTTCTCAGGTCCCTCACCGCCACTCCTGGCTGCTCCCTCCTGTCAGATGCCCCCACAGCAAGCAGCTTGCTATGGGGGCACTCGCAATTCCATGTGTCCATTCATACACTGAGCCACAGCTTGGCCCCGCCTCCCCCCTCTCCTCATTGGCTGACTGGCTTGATTGACAGCAGCAGGAGGCAATGGCTCCCACTTGCTGTCTCAGCCAATGAGGAGGCAAGGCCCCCATGGACAGCCGAGGCTGTTATTCCTATCTTTGGATCGTGATGAGGCTCAGGTACGTATTGAGGGGGCTGGGGGCACTGCTACATGAATGTATGAAGGTAAAAAACCTTGAGCCTTTACGACCACTTTAACCCTCAGCTGATGGGAGAAGCTGGAAGGCTGCCACACACAGCTAATGGAGGCTTACATTTACTTATTTCCCTTGGATGCAATGACACACAATGAGCTGCGAATAAACACCAACATGCTGGACATGTCTATCATCATAAAGTAGTATTAAATTTGATGCACGCAGTGTAGGGAGGCACAACTCTAGTCCCTTCATGCAAGGATGGCTCTATAGGATGATGAAAAGAAAGGAGCAGCCCTAAAACAGGAAATCTGGGACAGTGGTTGTAAAGGCTGAAGGTTTTTTACCTACATGCATTCTATGCATGAAAGTAAAAAACCTTCTGTGTGCTGCTCCCCCTACATCCCCCCCTAAAACTCACCTGAGCCCTCTCTCGATCCAGCAATGTGCATGAAAGCCTCAACTGTCCCAGGACTCTCTCTCCTCATTGACTGAGACAGCAGCAGGAGCCATTAGCTTTCAATGCTGTCAATCACAGCCAATGAGCCAATGAGGAGAGCGGGAGGCGTGTGTCTTATGGCTGCAAAAAGCTGGGCTCAAGAGTGAGCACGTACCATTGCCCCCATAGCAAGCTGCAAGCGACTCCTCCAGCTGGTCAAGCTGGAGGAGTCAGGAGCGCTGGTGAGAGACCCAAGAAAAAGAGGACTGGGGCTGCTCTGTGCATAACCACTGCACAGAGCAGGAAAGTATAACATGGTTGTTATTTTTTTTTTAAAGGCTGAACCTATAACACCACTTTAATCAGAATCAAAGGCAAGGAATAAAAGATAAAAAAAACTGCAGCTCCATAAATTATTAAATAAACTGCTAAAAATGATTACAAATGGAGGGTTTAAATTTATTCTAAAGCTTAAAAAAAGCTGAAACACACAATAAGCACAGAAATAACACAAAAGAACATAACACTTGGTAGTAGGTGATGGATGATAATTAATAATATAAGACTATTTTGCCTTTACTTACGTGCTGATTATTTCATCCATTTGAATTAATGAGCTTCTTATATCTAACAACTGGATTTTGTCACTTGCAGGTGTATCCACTTTACCAGCAGCCGCAACCGGCATGTTCCTTGGAGGACTGATCATGAAGAAGTACAAATTCGGTTTACTATCGGCATCTAAAATGGCGTTTGTCGCATCATTTGTTGCCTTCATTCTGTCTCTCTCTGTGTTTATCATTGGTTGTGAGAACCGTGAGGTTGCTGGGATCACTGTGACTTATAATGGGCAAGTCAATTAATAATTTCTAATTTTCCTAATCTCCAGATAATCTTGGAAGATATCATTTTTTTCAGGCATCAAAACTCTTTGTGACTTTTCTGCAAAAATATACACTGCTCAAAAAAATTAAAGGAACACTTTGAAAACACATCAGATCTCAATGGGGAATAATATCATGTTGGATATCTATACTGATATGGACTGGGTAATGTGTTAGGAACGTAAGGATGCCCCATCGTTTGATGGAAATGAAAATTATCAACCTAAAGAGGACTGAATTCAAAGACACCTTGAAAATCAAAGTGACAAAAATGATGCAGCAGGCTAGTCCATTTTGCTGAAATTTCATTGCAGCAACTCAAATGGAACTCAGTAGTTTGTATGGCCCCCACATGCTTGTATGCATACCTGACAATGTTGGGGCATGCTCCTAATGAGACGACGGATGGTATCCTGGGGTATTTCCTCCCAGATCTGAACCAGGGCATCACTGAGCTCCTGGACGGTCTGAGGTGCAACCTTGCGGCGCTGGATGGACTGAAGCATGATATCCCAGAGACTTTCCATTGGATTTAGGCCAGGCGAGTATGGGGACCATTCAATGGTATCAAGGCCTTCATTCTCCAGGAACTGCCTGCATGCTCTCACCACGAGACCAGGCATTGTCGTGCACCAGGAGGAACCCAGGACCCACTGCACCAGCATCTAACAATGGGTCCAAGGATTTCATCCCGATACCTAATGGCAGTCAGGGTGCCATTGTTTAGCCTGTAGAGGTCTGTGCATCCCTCCATAGATATGCTTCCCCAGACCATCACTGACCCACCACCAAACGATCATGCTAAATGATGTTACAGGCAGCATAACGTTCTCCATGGCTTCTCCAGACCCTTTCACGTCTGTCACATGTGCTCAGAGTGAACCTGCTCTCATCTGTGAAAACTACAGGGCACCAGTGGCGGACTTGCCAGTTCTGGTGTTCAATGGCAAATGCCAATCGAGCTCTCTGGTGCTAGGCAGTGAGCACAGGGCCCACTAGAGGATGTCTGGCTCTCAGGCCACCCTCATTAAGTCTGTTTCTGATTGTTTGGTCAGAGACATTCACACCAGTGGCCTGCTGGAGGTCATTTTGTAGAGCTCTGACAGTGCTCATCCTGTTCTTCCTTGCACAAAGAAGCAGAAACCGGTCCTGCTGATGGTTTAAGGACCTTCTACAGCCCTGTGCAGCTCTCCTATAGTAACTGCCTGTCTCCTGGAATCTCTACTCTTGTGCTGGGAAACACAGCAAATCTTCTGGCCATGGCACGTCTGATGTGCCATCCTGGAGGAGTTGGACTGCCTGTGCAACCTCTGTAGGGTCCAAGTATCACATCATGCTACCAGTTGTGACACTGACCCTAGCCAAATGCAAAACTACTGAAAAAAAAAGTCAGAAAAGCTGAGTAGGGGAAAACATGTCAGTGGCCTCCACCTGTAAAACTATTCCTGTTTTGGGAGTTGTCTCATTGTTGCCCATCTAGTGCACCTGTTGTTAATTTCATTAACGCCAAAGCAGCTGAAACTGATTAATAACCCCCTCTGCTACTTAACTGACCAGATCAATATCCCAGGAGTTTAATTGACTTCATGCTATACTCTGATTAAAAAGTGTTCCTTTAATTTTCCTGATCAGTGTATTTTCCCGATCTTTCAGATTCCAAACCTTGGATGGGTTCATTCACATTTGTGTATCTAGGCACGTCACATCCCAATCTACATCTACACAGGAAGAGGCATAGCACTGATCTAGAGATTCATCTAGTACTTGAACAAGATCCTCCTGCTCCCTAGGCAAATGTACCAAAGTGTGTCCCCTTCCTCCAGAGTGAGGACGATCCTTGCATAACAATACACTTTCCTGTGCTTTCTCTGTACCAGTAAGGAAGAGGGTGTTATAAGGATGCTCCTTACATTTATGCAGCTGCCCAGCCTCATTAATAAATTAATGAAGAACAGGATGCTTTCACTGTGATCACTTGTCCACTGTCCTCAGTGTATTTGGAGGTGTTGTCAGCATTGTTTATACAGAGCGAGACACAAATGTAACACTGACAGAAGAGCCCTGCTGATTACATTGGTGGAACTGCTCTGCAAGGCTGTGCTGTCAGTATGACAGCCAGGTCCTGTAGAGTGCTAGAGACAGCTGATGTAGAGGCTGGAAAGGCTCCCTCTTCGACTGTAGCCATTCCAACAACACAAGGCAGGATCATCTATCACTGCTTTGGTCTGACTCTAGGATCATCCTCACCACAAATAAAACTGCAGTTCAGCTTCATTTACCTTACTCCGTAAGGTAAACAATACAGCAGTGCATGTTAGCACTTCCACCTAGCAGCACTTGGATTGTTGGTTCAAATCCCAACCACGACACTACCTGCACAGAGTTTGCATGTTCTCCCTGTGCCCGTGTGGGTTTCCTCCGGGTGCTCCAGTTTCATCCCACACTCCAAAGACATGCTGGTAGGTTAATTGCTCCTGTCTAAATTGGTGCTAGTATATATGAATGTGAGTTAGGGACGTTAGATTGTACACTCCTTGCAGGTTAGGGACTGAAGTGAATGTACAGTATATGTAAAGCAATGCATACATTTACAGCACTATGTAAGTACCTTCAATAAATAATAATTCCATAACCAAGGAATACATTATGCCCCCTTGAAAAGCGCATGTTAATAAACATGCACTCGAAAGCAATTATTAAATAGACCATGTTACTGGGGGGGTGGGGGGAGAAGGGGGTAAACTACTGCAGGTATGAAGTGCAACACACCTGCTGAATCTTTGTTAATAAGAGGTGTGCAAGCCTCAGCACACACAGAAAGTGCAAAAGTTTTGTGTGTTAGAACAGTCTGGAATTCGATGATGATGGGAAGGTTTGGAAGGTGCTGCAAGTATGTGCTCCTCTAGGTTTCTGTAGCTAATGTCTTCAGTAGCCCCCACCCCCCCCTTCCTCCCAGTGACAGGTTCTCTTTAATGCCACAGACATTTTTCATGCATAAGTGTGTGTGGAGCCTCAGAGTTTTAATATATTGTTTTCTCATTTCGTTTCAGGAGTAAAGTGGATACATTTCATGAGAGTAGCCTTTTCTCTTCTTGTAACTCGGAGTGCCACTGTTCGTCCAGCCGGTGGGATCCAGTGTGTGGGGAGAATAAAATAACGTACATGTCGGCATGTTTGGCTGGTTGCACATCATCCTTGGGGGCAGGAAAGTCCATTGTAAGTTTCAACCAGTTCCCATAATCCTCTACTCTGGAGGCGTAGATGGTTCTTTTATCATTTTATCTGCTTTGTGTCCATGTAGGTTTACCATAACTGCTCGTGTATCGAATCTATGGGTTTCTTATCGGCCAATTCATCCGTCAGGCTGGGGGTGTGTCCACCCACTGACAACTGCGCCAGTATGTTTGTAAACTACATCATCTTACAGATAATTTCCACCTTTATATTTGCAATCGGTGGATCTGCATCCTATGTCATCATCCTCTGGTGAGTCCATATACCTCCCAGGTGGCTGCTTTAGAATTTATTGGCACTTTAGAATTCAATATTTTAACAGAGAAACTAAATTTTTGGAAGATAATAATCCATTCCAGGTCACACAGGAGGTTTCTTTTCAGAGTTCATCTGTGGCCACACATTCCTTCTAATGTATGGTGTATACAATGCACTGACCTATCTTCATTTCTTTGCTACAGGTCAGTGAGTCCAGAGCTTAAGTCACTGGCGACAGGGGTCTATATGTTAATGGTGAGAACACTGGGTGGGTATGAATGCCATGGTGGATTCCTTGAAGAGATGATTGGTTGTTTCTGAGATTGGGCTCAGAGGTCAGCTCTGGTAATGTGTGTTCTTTTATCTCCCTATTACAGCTGGAATTCCCGCTCCTATTTATTTTGGAGCCCTTATAGACAAAACCTGCCTGAAATGGGGGACAAAGTTCTGTGGAGGAAAAGGGGCCTGTCGGATGTATGATGCTGAATCCTTCCGGTAAGCTCTTTAATGGAATATGCATGTGCTTCTTTAAACCAAAAAAAATGTTTTTTTGATCTCCATCCTTCTCTATGAAAACTTTACTCAAGACTTCCAATTCTATTCAGCTGTTGCACTTAAGAGGTAAACATGCCAGTCACTAACTGTTTAGCCTTGTTTGCATCCAGCAATTTACACCTAGCACTTGGATTAGCATAGTGTAGAACATACAAAGATGTCTCACTGAGGACAATAATGAAGTGAAATATGTTTCCTCTCTACAGTGATAAGCTGTTATGTGGCTGATAAAGTGTTGTGTCACATGTGGGGGCAACATTTTCTGCCAATCAGTGAGAATTAACACACTAGAAGATCACTTTGTGTATCAAGAACCTACTACTATACTACTTTTGGATTAGCTCATATCATTTCCCAAGGAATTTCCTGAACTTTCTACTCCTAACCAAGTCCCCTTATTGGGCCATTAATTCCCAGTCTTAGTCTCTAAGATAGGACCATCAGTACTTCACCTTAGTCTTTGGGATAAAGCCATGAATCTGGGATAAGGCCACCAATACCAGGCCTTAGTCTCAGGGATAAGGTAATCAATTCTTAGCCCCAGTCCTCAGGATAAAATCTTCAATGCTTGGCCTTAGTCTCAGGGATAAGGCCATCACTGTCTGGCCTTATTTCCTGGGATAAGGCCATCAATGCCCAAGCTTAGTCTTTAGGATAAAGTCAACATTGCCCAGCCGTCTGTTAACGAAATGCGTAGGGTGGAGCCTGTGGATGTGACGTCATGACGTTCCTGATGCTGTTGGCATCTGCGTATGCCGGAGGAAGCTGGGTTTGTCTCTTATGCTGAATATGCTGTTTTTGCTGGTGTCGGCTGGGACACCTTGTTTGTGAGTGCAATGAGATATATAGATTTTTAATAAAATTGTTTTAATGATACTGCACCATGAGCTTTCATCTCTTGATTCCCGAGTACTGCTATGATTATATGAAGAGGCGGTGACCATAAAGCGATATCCTATGTTTTGCTGGAAACCCTCCTGCAGAGTATTGCTTCCAGTCCATATGAAATTTGCTGATGATTCTCCTGCAGAGTATTGCTCCCAGAGCAAAAAGCGCTTATGCTGGTTTATAATATAATCAGCATATAGCTCTGGTGAGTTTATTTAATTTATCTGGATTTGTATCACTGATATAATAATTTGGACACTGGAATTTTTTGTAATAATAAACTTTGGTAAAGACACAAAAAGAAAATGGACCATCTGTCACTGGTGTTTGGACTTTATTTGATGCACGTTATTGATATCTGTGTTTTTATTATTTGGAATATATGAAAAAGTTATATATTTTAGTTGGTATGAGCGAAAATCTATTATTTTATTATTATAAACATTTTGCCACTCTCCAATATTGGTCATGTCCCCTTCACCTCCCATCCTCGTCATGGGCACTGGTTGGCCTTGTCCAGACACTGCCACACATGTATTGAATTCTGCCCAGTTCCAACTCAACCGGCCGAATTTCGATAGCTCTATGGCCAGCTTTAGTCTCTGGGATAAGGCCCTCAATGCCTGGCTTTAGTCTCTGGATAAAGTCATCAATTCCTATTCTTAACCACTTGAAAACAGGACACTTTCACCCCCTTCCTACCCAGGCCTTTTTTAGATTTCAGCACTGTAACACTTTGAATGATAATTACTCAATCATGCCACACAGTCATACAACACTGTACCCAAATGAAATCTGTATCATTTTTTTGAGACAGATAAAAAATGTATTTTAAATCTTTTTATGGTATTTGATGATAACATATAAATGAAAAAAGACCAAAAATTATAAAAAAAAGTTTTTCTTGTTTCTGTTTTTAGGCCAGAATATATTCTGCTACATTTCTTTGGTAAAAATAACTTAAATTAGTGTATATTATTTAGTCTGTGTGAAAGTTACAGAGTCTACAAACTATGGTAAATATATTTAAAAAATGATCAATCCTGATGTACTGACTGCCTCATATTTTTGAGGCCTTAAAACACCATGATTGTACAAATATCTATTTTTTGGAAAGTAGACAGTCCAAGATATTTAGTTAGAAGCAGGGTGAGTTTTTTTGAAGTTGTAATTTTTGTCACAAATTTTTGTAAAATTAAGAAATTAAATACATATTTTCCTGCAAAGTTGTTAATTTTTTTTTAAATTTAAATATTTATTGATTTTTCAAATAAACAAGTTATACAAACATACTCATTAAAACCTTAGCATATCATCAAAACATTTATCGTTTCATCCCTCCCTCGTCCCCCCCTCCCCCTACCTATATACCACCCATCCCCCCCCCTCCAATCCCTGACCCCTTCTGCTATGCATTTCCCTGTTCATTTCTTGAGATCGTAATCCCTATAAAGGAAGAACAAAATATGTTTCCATATTATTCTATGTTAATCCCCCATAACCGTTAAGGCTAGCCTTGACTTTTTGAATTCCTCCCATTTGTTCCATCTTGTATGGTGACTCTCCATCTTATCTTCATTCAAATGATAAAGTTCCTCCAATTTACATATTTGATCCACCCTATCCACCCAGTCCTTTATTTTCGGCACCTCCTGTCTCCTCCAATACTTGGGTATCAGTCCCTTTGCTGCATTCAAATAGTACAATAAACCAGATTCTTTGTATTTTTTAACTGAAAGCTTAGCACTATGAAAAAGGCAAATCTCTGGGTCTACTAGACTATCAACCTCTCTAAATTTCTGAATCAAGCTTACTAGTTTCCCCCCGATACTCTTATATTTTAGAACACTCCCACCATATGTGATACATTGTGCCTCTACCTCCACATCCACGCCAACATAAAGGTGAATTATCTCTACTCAATCTGTGTGCCACACTCGGTGTGATATACCATCTTGCCAATCACTTATAATTCATTTCTAAGTCCTGCATATTTATATTTCTGTGGATTATTCTATACATTTTCCTCTGTTTTTTCCGCATCTATTGTTACTCCTATTTCTCTTTCCCATTTTTCTATATATGGAGGATTTATATCTGCATTTATTTCAGTGAGAAACTTTTATATTTTAGAGGTTCCGTGTTTCCCATCTCCCTGTGTACCTAATAAGTGCTCAAAAGGATTCCAATCCTCTCTTATTCTTAAAGGCTTTGGAAGTTTTCCTATAAAGTGTTTCAATTGAAAATAACGCCACTCATTCATTCTTGTAAAAACTCCTTTTTTTTCCAATTCCTTAAGTGATCCTATTTCCTCCCCCACCATTATATCTCTTAATTGTGAATCTTCCTTCTTAATCCACTTCCCTGTGATACCTTCTTTACCCGGGGAAAAAAAACTCTGTGGACTTTAAGGGCATTAATAATGAATTAAATTCCCATCCCATCTGTTTGTGTAAAACATCCCAAACTCTTAAAACATTAAATGTGAACAAATTGTACTGTCTGCTAATCCTCTGTATTGTGGAGGTAACCATACAATTCCACTTAATTTAGTATTACTTAGTATATTTTTTATTTTAAGCCAGCTTTTCCCCTCTGCATTATATGTCCAGTCAAAAATGTTCGCCATTATTACCGAGTTATAATATCTTTTTAAAACTGGGACTCCCAATCCTCCTTTCTCTTTATTTCAACATAAACTTTCCTGGCTTATTCTTAGTTTTTTATTCCTCTAAATAAATCTTATTAACATTTTTTTAATTGATCTAAAGTATACTTCTGGTAGTTTAGTTGGTATCATTTGAAATTTATATAATATTTTTTTGGAACAATCACCATTTTTATCAAATTTATACGACCTATCCATGACGGGGTTCCCCCTCCTAATTTCCTTAGTTCATCATCCGTGATCTCATTTAACAATGGGATATAATTCAATTTTATACAAGTTCTTGGACGATACAATTAATTTTATTCCTAGATATTTCAATTCTTTTTCTCTCCAAATAAAGGGAAATTCCTCCTGTAACCTATTTTTCTCTCTATTTGGAAGATTTATGTTTAAAATTTCTGTTTTTGTTGGGTTAATTTTTAAATTTGACATCTCCCCATATTCTTTCAGTGATTTAATTAAATTTGGCAATGTTATCCTTTGGTTTCCCACATAGAACAGCATGTCATCTGCATAAGCTGCCACCTTATGCTCCGCATCTCCTATCCAAATTCCGTTTAAATCTGTATTATTCCTTATTGTTGCCAAAAGACATTCCAATGATAAAACATATAGCAATGGAGACAAAGGGCAT